ATGGAAGTGTATGAATGATGTTTATGATTGAAGTGTTGATAAATAAGTTGTAGTCTCGTTTCGAATTGTTTGAATAACAATGAGCTAAGTAAATGAATTGATTTTGATAAATAAAGGGAAGTGGATTGATTAGGATATCAATGTCGATTTGTAGTGGTTTTGGTGTAAGTTGGTTTACGAGTGTTAAACATTTATCGGATGCTAATGTTTTAGTTAATTCACATATGTTGTTTAGCATGTCTCTACTGGGCTTTGGCTCACCCTACTTGGGACACCATTTTTAGGTACAGGTAATATGCCGCCTCCGAGATCTTAGCTTGGGAGGTTTTGGAGTTGAAGACTCCCTTTTGTTATTCGTTTTGATCTTAAATGTATATTCAAGCCTAGGGCTTTCCATGTATAGAGCTAGGACCCTTTTGTAACCAAGTGATGACTTGGAAAGCTGTAAGCCCGTAGGGCATTCATTTTGTTGCAAACATGTAATATATATCGTAATACAAACTCTGATGATTGAAAAGATGATATTTCTATTATGTTTTATGGATTTATTGAATGGTTGGATTATGTCTTATTTTGAGGGCGTTACACACAAACTCCCTGGTCTTTATTCTCTAATCAAATTTAATAGATCTAACCAAGCAAATAACTTTGACTAAATTTTTAGTTAATTTGTTTGACTTTTGAGGATGTTCAGGGTAACCAAAATAAAAGAGGGTAAATTATAAATACACCTCTTGAGGTTTGATTAAAATATGAATCGCCCATTGTAGTTTTGAAAATTACATTCCACCCCTTGAGGTTTCTAATTTCATAACAAATCGCCCCTTTTATTAATAAATCATCAAGCTAATTAACAGTTTTTAATGATGTTAAAAATATGTTTCAATTAATAATTTAGGTAATTTTATTATTGTATAGGAGAGCAATTATGAATTTCATTTTTTTAGTTAATTCTGTTAAATAAAAAATTCACATAAGGGGCTATTTGTAATTTTTCAAACCACGGGGGGCAATCTATATTTTAAGCAAACCTCAAGGGGTGTATTTGTAATTTATCCAAAAAAAAAAAATAGTTGTCAAAATGAAATAGCAGAAAGTTATATAAAACACAAATAGCAGAAATTGCCTTATATTAAAGAGTTACCCGTACCTTTGGAAAGATACAGGAATAATTCCAGATCTATATTAGGCAATTTGCAAGAATGCAGGCTTTGCCAGATCAAAGTGCTGGAGAGGAGGGTTGCACCACCCACCATTGTCATTAAATTGAAAAAGGTTAGGTGGGTAGAAGTTTGTAGCAGTCATGGTGATGGTCCTAGGGTGGCACCATTGTGGGTCATCATTGCATTTGATCTCATAGCACGCCCCATAACTCAACCCTTTGTTGAACAGAGCAGTGCTTAGTGCTGTAGTGTTAGTGCCATAGCCTTGGCTATACAAGTTGCCATATCCACAAGCACCTCCCGTGACACCAAAATCATCATGTATAAGAAAAAGTAAATTTTTTATGGAAAAGTTATACAAAACTCTAAAAGTCATTTTGGTACGATAAAATTTAGGAAACGTAAAATGTGATGTTGTGTGTCGAAGCAATGCTATTTTGATGTGCTAAATAAGTAATGTTATTAATAGAAGGAAAAAAAATCGTAGAAATGTGCTCAGAATGCAATGTTGACATCATTGCATATATTCTAGTGGAGTGCAGGCCCATTTAGAATGAATGTAATCATTCATGTTTGCATTGTTTTTCCATACTACATGGATAGTTTGTTTTAACGTACCCATTGTTCTGGATGCATCGCCCCACCATAGAAGGTGGCATAAGCATATCCTCCATAGTCACCATATGTGCTGCGGAGGAATAAATTAAAGAAAAAGAAGAGAAGAGAAATACTGGAGAATGCTTGAATAGCCATAGAGAAAAGGATGAGAGAGAGATGTTAGAAAAGAGAGAGAAGATTGTGTGGTAATAGCTTCTCAGTACAAAGAGAGAGAACAGGGGTTTACTTAAATAGGGGAATGGAGCCGAAGTTGAGGACTTTGAAGGGGTTAGATAGATGGGGGCATTGTTGTATAGTAGAAAGTGACAACTTAGTTGTTATAATAGTAGAGAGAGGAAATAATATGTATTGTATTCAATTAATTAATCATACACAATAACTAAAAGGCCTGCATATAGAGGCTGAGAAAGAGTATCTTATAAGATACCTTACTATGAGGAAGAGTATCTTATAAGAAACTTAACTATGGCAATACAAATATATCTAGGAAATCAATACCTAATATATCTAGGAATATATACAATATATACATTAACATCTCCCCTTAAACTCAAGTAGGATAAACATCTTAAGTTTGGAGAGAGAAACTAAAACATGAAATAAAACTAAATAAAATAAAAAGCAACTAGATTGCAAAGTCCGAACGGGAGCTCAAGGGCACTTGAAATAGATTAGAGGTTGAAACTAATTCTGGGAGATAGTTTATGGTCGTGCCGGACCGTTGTAGGAACTGGTCGAAACTAATGTCGGGACAATTTAAGGTTATGCCAGACCGTTGAAGGAACTAGCTAGAATCAATGTTGGAATAGTTTACGGGGTCATGTCGGACTGTTATAGAGATTGGATGTTGAATCAGCAATCGTGAAACACACATAACTTATGACGTGGTGCTGAACGATGATGGCAACAGATGACTGAGTGTGTCCGCTTGGATGGCACGCTAGGGGGCGACTTTGGTGGTGCGCTAAGGGCCGGGGCGGCTTGGGTTGTGAGCCAGATGAGGTGGCTTGGGTGGTGTGCCAAGGGGCGACTTGGGTGGTGTGCCACAGGGGGCGGCTTAAGTTGTGGGTCACATGGGATGACTTAGGTGGTTTGCATGGTGTATAACCATGTTTATCATGATATAGGTATAATACCCCCCCTCAAACTCAAATAGGTTTGAAGATAGAAACCTATTTGAGGTTGAAGTAGAGGGAAAGACAGAGTGGAGCAGAAGCACAAAAAAAATAAATATGATAAAAAGATTGCGAGTAAAATATATATATATATATATATATGATAGAGATATTTGGGGTAGGAATAAACCAACAGACAAAGGAAGAGACCACCATGAAGCGATACTGATAGGAAAATATGACAGTGGAATAGGTTGAGGTTCGACGGGTGGTCAATGCAAGGTTGTCGTCTGCCGGTAAAGCAAAGAACACCAAGAGCTTAACCTATCGCTCTGATACCATATTACAATAGTAGAGAGAGAGAAGAAATAATATGTATTATATTCAATTAATTAATCTTATATAATAAATAGAAGGCCTGTATATATAGGCTGAGAAAAAGTATCCTATAAGAAACCTAACTATGAGAAATAGTATCCTATAAGAAACTTAACTATGGCAATACAAAAATATCTAGGAAATCAATATCTAATATATCTAAGAATATATACTATATATACATTAGCATTAGGAATGCTAACATTTGAGAAAAAGCCAAAAATCACAAAACCTTAATCAAATAATGTTTTTTTTTTTTTAGGGCAAATTACAGTGGTAGTCACTATAATTTACCTTTTTTTCATTATGGTTCCTATTGTTTCAATTTGCTCAATTTTGCCCCTTAATTTTACGGATTGTGTCATGTTAGTCCAATAAATAATGGCGGTTAAGTTTGATGGACGGATAATCATATGATGTTTCAATTTGGTCCTTGTAGTTTACAAGATGTGTTAATTTGGTCCCTGTTGTTTTGACTTTCCTATAAACTACAAGGATCAAATTGACACATTCTATAAACTACAGAGACCAAATTGACACATCATTTGATTTTCTGCCCATTAAACTTAACCGCCGTTATTTATTAAATTAATATGATACAATCCGTGAAATTAAAAGAAAAGAAAGAAGAATATTTCAGTGGTATTAGAGAAATTAAGTAATATAAAGTGATAAAACTTCCATAACCCTATTTGTCTAAGATGGGTGAAGAAATAATTCAATTAAATTAGTTTAATTGGTGATTATCATAAACAACTTAATATAAAATTTTCAATTGAAATCAATTGAAATAAAGGGATATGTACAGTCGATCCTAATAATTAAGACAAGATTGTTGAGTTGAGAAACACAAGTACAATAGAATTTAGTTTATTCTTGTAACTTTCATGTTAACAAAAACTTTTCGCTAAGAGAAATTATGGTCGTATTTGGCTTAGTTTTGTAATTGTAATTCTAATCAAAAAATTTAATTTTTTGTTTTTTTTTTTTTTCAAAATTCATAACCAAACAGAATTTAGAAACTATTTTAAAAACTCATAACCAAACACACAATTCAAAAATTCTTTTCAAAATTTATAACCCAAATCTTTTCAAAACTCCATTAAAAAAAAAATCAAATTTTATTTATTTATATATTTTGTTTTTTAAAATTTTTCTTAAATCGTAATTTTAAAACTAAACCAAACTTAACTTACTTTTTTGTGACATAATTTCTTAAAACTAATTTTTTAAAGAAGATATTTGAGAAAAAGTTTTCTTTCCCCTTGTTGGGAGCTTTGTTGTCATTTTATTACGACTAAAAGCATTTATATTAAAGGACATTGAGGGGTCACCCCCACGACTCCCACTGTTTTTTCATTGGTCAGCTTTTTTTTTTTTTTTTTAATCACCATCCCTACGTGAGGGTGGGGGTGGTGGGAGTGGTGGAGAAAGAGGGTCTGGGTTTTTTTTTTTTTTTTTTTTTTCAATCACCATCCCTACGTGAGGGTGGGGGTGGTGGGAGTGGTGGAGAAAGAGGGTCTGGGGCATTTTCTTTTATTAAAATCATGTAAATGAATAAAACTAGACACAACTTTGTGTCACAGTTAAATTGAGAATTATATATACACTTTCCCATCAAATCACTTGATGGAACAATAAATTTGACAATTAAAATTGAGCTTTGTTGTCATTGATTGATTCTTATTAAATTAAAAAACTACATTAAGAAAATAACACATCAAAATAAAGAAATTAGGGAAATGTATTAAAGGATTTCACTGATATAAAGTTGCCTCAAATAGGGTTTCTATTCCAACTTGTCATTAAATCTACAAACATTATATGATATTCATATGGCCTTGATTTCAATCTAAGGCTTCCAATTGAATCACTTTTTACAAGTATCTATGCCACGAACTTTATACGAGTATAGGCCTAAGCGGGTGCTAGTTAGCCACCACAGCAATAGACTCTAAATTTCCTTGAGTCTCACCCATGCCTACCCACCTTCAAATTGAACATGTACAAATTTTTTAACCCATGGCGTTGTGAAAACTTAGAATTGACCCCCCTCAAATGTTTGGCCAAATTGCCAATTAGCCGGCACTGCATTGTAACTAGTAATGGTCCTTCCATCACTGGTAGTGACTTGAAATGACAGAGATTGGCCATTGAGCACGGAGTTGCTCTGCCAGTTTTGACCCCAATTCCTTGACATGGGTTGCCACCCTGTTTTGGACCCCTTGATCGACACTGAATGGACGTCCCCTGCACCGCCAACGTTGCTAACCAAGACCAGGTTGAAGTAAGAGTGGCCATTGATTGTAAATCTTATTCCTCCTTTCTTCACACAGGGCACCCTGTCAAGACCACCACACAACCATATTCATTAGTTAATTTAAATAAGGGAGAAACTACTGACAGTAAGACTTGATCTGAGTATCACACTCGATAAGACATCACAAACTCATTGGTCTTTATTTGATATTCAAATTAACTAGCACAGATTAAGCAAATTGCTTTGACTAATTTTTTAGTTAATTTGTTTGACTCGGGAATGTTGAGGGTATATGTATATAATACTAGTTGCAGAACAATAAATATAAAAAGTTCTACATGACACAAGAGAAACATAGAGTGGTGTTGGGTCCACACCCTTCTGTGTGTTCAGTGCAACTAGCAAAGTTGTGAGGGTAATTAGAGAGCAACCCTTGCCTTTGAAAAGATACTGGAACAATTCCAGCTCTGTATTGAGCAATTTGCAAGAAAGCAGGCTCTGCCAGATCAAAGTGTTGGAGGGGAGGGTTGCACCACCCACCATTGTCATTAGATTGAGAAGGGTTAGGTGGACAGAAGTTTGTACCAGTCACAGTGATGGTCCCAGGGAGGCACCATTGTGGGTCACTGTTGCATTTGATCTGATAGCATGCCCCGCAGCTCAAGCCATTGTTGAACAGAGCAGTGCTTAGTGCTGCGGTGTTAGTGCCATAGCCTTGGCTATACAAATTGCCATACCCACATGCACCTCCTGCCACACCAAAATCATCAAGTATTAGAATCCCAAAACATCAAATTTATCAAATTTTACTAGAAAAATGTCATTCTTTTAACCGTCAAGTTTATAAAACTCGAACAGAAGTCACTTTAGTAGACTAAAACTCAAGGTAAGTAAAATGTCAAGTTATGGGTCAAAGCAATGCAATTTTGTTCTGCTAAATCAGTAATTCTAAAATCGCATATTTTATTTATTTACAGATAAGTGCTCAAAATAGCAACACTGCATATTCATCTTAAACGGGGCCACTAGAAAGAGTAGTGCTGACAATACTACATTTTTTATGCATTTTCTTAATTTTTATTTATTTATTTATATATTTGTATTTTTTTCTGTACTAAATGGAAAATTTGTCCAACTTACCCATTGTGCCAGATGCATCACCCCCACCATAGAAAGTGGCATGACCACCTTGCCACCCTCCATAGTCACCATAAGTGCCGCGGAGGCATAAATCGAAAAAGAAGAAGAGTAGAAGAGAAACAATGGAGAATACTTGAATAGCCATTGATATATATATATATATATATAGAGAGAGAGAGAGTGAGAGAGAGAGAGAGAGAGAGAGAGAGAAGATTGTGCGGTAAGAGCTTCTTAGTACAAAGAGGGGAAATGGGGCTTTACTTAAATAGGGGAATGGAGGCCAAGTTGAGGACTCTGAGGGGGTTAGATAGATGGGGGCACTGTTGTATGGTAGAAAGTGACAACTTAGACATGCTCACTTTTGAGAGATGGCCAAAAGCACAAAACCTGAATCAAAATGTTTTTCAAGGTCATGTACAAGGGATCAAAGTTGCACATGCAAATGTTCTGACTAAACTACCAACTGCAAAGCTCACATGACCCCACAAAGCACATGCACTTCACAACTGTCTCTATGTGATTTATTTATTTGTTTTCCTCTCCTTCTCTCTGTACTACGGATTATATGTCTTTCATTTGGACAATTTTTTATTTTTTTCCCCCTCTCGTTCGACTAAAATCACACAGTCAACTAAGTGATTAGATTAATGGGTAATGTGGACAGGTTTAATTGGAGAGTTTGGGGCAGATTTGTAGCTACTTTGCGTATTTCTAAAAGATGCACCGGATACTTTGACTCATAAGCTATGCCCTCTGTTCGAATGCACTCTCAACCATATGATATGGTGAAAATTTTGGGATACAAGAATCTCAAAGTACAATTAGGCAGCTGACAGTGTGTTGGGACAGAGAGGGATTTTGGGGATAGAGGATCTTGTGTCAGTACTCCAAGCCTCCATTGCATTGTTAGTAAACACATTTTTTTTTAAAGATTTGAAGAGTTTAGAGCTTAAAAAATTCAATTGTCCTATCAAATTTATGATTTCCCAAGTGTTAGTGGACCGTGTCTAAATATGTCCTCTGTGACCTACTCCTGCAATGGCATCAAGATATGCATTGTAACGCTGAGAATGAGAATTTTTATTATATTACAATTTCCATTTTGAAAAACACAATAATACCACGAAGTCAAAAAAAGTAGTTAAAAAATGACAAAAAAAATGAAGTGTGTGAACTTGATTCATTATGTATAATATATATAACCCAAATCACACTAAATTTGAACTTCCGTCACACTTTATTTTCTTATCATAAATTTCCCCCAAAAAACTTTGGTGAAATCTTGTTCTCTTAAAGTCAACAAAGAACCATAGCCTCCTAGGATTAACCAATATGCAAACAATTGCGCATCCGAAATTAAGAGCTTGTGTTCTTTGTAGGTACCATGTGTTAACTCTTGTATGGTAAAAAAGCTTTGAGATCTGTTTGAGCTCGAAGTGCCTAGCAAAACTAAATGCTGAATGAACCACATATAAATTTCAAGCAACAAACATTAATATTTTTTTTATATATATTGCATTTTTCAACAATGTTTGCAGTTATAGCTGAATCTTCAAACAAAAATAGGGATTGTGGATGCTGGATAAGATTATGTAGGAACCAAAGGTCAGTTATTATTTATGAATATTGTGGAAGACAAAACTATGCTAAAAAAAAGTTTTGCAATACAGTATGTCAATCTATGACATAGCGATAATTGTGCATATCATTGAAAATCATAATGGTACGTGCAAAAATGGTTTTATAATCAAGTTTTTAATTCTAAACCTGTGACTTATTGTCAAATTTGTTGTTAGACCTTAAATATTAGATAAAACTAGAAGGGTTGGTTAAAAAAATAGGGAGGGTACTTGTTTAATACCCTACCATGTTAGGAGCACATGCAAGTACTGGTCATTGTGGACCCTTTTATACATGCATCATTGTCATAGTTTTAGAGCCATCCATTTCCAAGCTTATATATATATATATATGTAAAGGGGTCACACTGCCGGCTATTGCATACGCAGTATTACCCCACATGCAGAATGATTATTTTCGTATAATCTGAATGGACTTGTGCAAAATCAATACAAAAAGAACAGATGTTCTGGCTAGCGTTTTCTTGGCTTCTTTTGAAAAGAAAATTGGGGAGTTGGGGCTTTGAATAAAAATCCTTCTTAGTATTCAATTATTATTAATTACTAATATTTTTTTCATCAGTAGAAGCCAAGAAAATGTTTTGGCCAAAATCTTCAAATTTGTCTCTTCTAGAAGAGAATATTTAGGAGGTGGAGCTGAGGATATACACACCCACCCCTTCAAGATTTACTCTCTCTCTCTCTCTCTCTCTCATAATAACATAATGACAAAGATCCATGGGAATTTGGCTTTCCTGTTATGTAAGAAAGTAATAGCTTTGCAATCAATTGATGGTAATTAATGTGATATGAACTTGACAATATCATATAAATAGACCGGAAACAAAAAAAAACAAAAAAAAAAAAAAAAAAAAAAAAAAAAAAGAAAAAAAAAAGCAGATGTTCAACTATAGCTACAGCATAGGATTGATACACTAAGACCTCAGCTAGCTCTTTGAACTCTGTGAGCTGTCTTGAGTAGCATAGACGCAGACACACGATATTATAAATTAATTATATATCATATATATAAATAATTTATTCAAATATAATTAAAAAATTTTAACGTAAATTAAAAAGCTATATATTACATAAATTAAATATCAAGATATCATTTATATAGCAATTACATTCAAAACAATGCAAAACAATTAAATAAAATGGTATTATACGTAATGTATTCATCTTATAAATGTTTCTAAACATATTTAGGATGCATAAGTTGTGTTATGAAGAATGGAGAACATAGTTATAATGAAGGAATTCATCATATAGGATGTATTTGGAGGGTTCAAGAAGTGTCACCAAAGTATCCGATGTTATGAATTTGAATTTTTAATCAAGACACATTGAAGAAGTGTCTGACACGCTTTTAGGAGTGTCCAAAGAGTTTCGTGTTGGATACGGGTGTCGGACATGACACGCTTCCTTTGTATAAGTGTCCATACTTCTTAGTTGAAAATGTAATATGTTTGGTATTTTTGGTAGAACTTTATTTTCCTTTTCCACTCAAAAAACTCAAAATAAAGACAAAAGGCTAATTATCAAGGTGAAGAAAGAAATAAGTTGAAAACCTGAAAAATTATCGAACACCCTAATTATCAACATTTGTTCTATAATTTTACTACCTTTGATTTTGTATGACAAGAATGAACAATTAATTTGAGCCATAAGACAAATATTTCCCTTTTTCTGATTTAAGAAGAGTATACGGTTTCAATTTTTTCTATCAATATTTGTTTCAATTTTTATGAATCCGACTAGTTTCTGTGATCATAGACCCCCTAAGTATTTCTTTTCGTCGAGAGTTTGCATCAAACCCTAAACCCACAAAAGGCATGTCATGAGGGGATTTATCCAAATGTTGTTGGTTAGAAACCAATGAAAGTGCCCTTCACAAGAGTTTGTCTGTTACTCCCACTTGTGAGAGACTATGACATCCCTCCACATGGAAAGAAACATAAGCAAAAGGGACATGAAGGGTCACTTCAAGTGGTACTTAATAGCAAGGTCACCATAAAGCATTTGCAGACAGCCCACATGAGCTTCCAGGGACCAAAACTCATACCGGTAATCGACGGCGTAGTAAAGAAATGTGCATTGGATTCATGCACAAAAATATACTTAGAAAAATAATGTATGATTCAGATTCAACTCTAGTTTGACGGAGTTCACATCTTAAATGAATTTGGATCATATTAAATTTTCTGGGTATTTTACTGAGCATGGATTCTGTGTGCATAGCATTATTCTTCGAAGTTGGCCATGCTCATTCCAGTGGTAGTTTGAGGTGGTAGGCCACTGATGGCGATGTAATATTCCATGTTAGTTACGTTTAGGGTCCCAAGCTCAAGTTTTGTGATCCTAATGTTGCATCAGGGATGAAAAAGGTCATGTTCTGAATTAATTAATTGTTTGGCCTTTGCATACAAAGAGAGAAACATAATGTTTTTTATTTTATTATTACTTTTTCACCATTTGAGGCTTCTTATATGTACAATACAAGAACAAGAGAAAAAGAACCTTTATTATGAGATAGGTGTTAGTTTTTCTCTCAGTATTTTTCTCTTGGTGAATGTAGTTTGGTGGCTGCAAAGTTTTTGGCCCTAGGTTTGAATGTGCTTGGAATTATTCAGGGGAACTAGTAAAAGATCTAGTTTTGTGCAAGTAAGTCAATTTGTTGACAATCCAACAATCCAAATGGCAAAACAATAATAATAATAAAAAAAGCATATGTGAGTAATTAAGAGAGAAGAAAACACAACTTAGTATGGTGTCGGAAGGGCCATCGAAGAACCAATGAGTGATGTCTCCCTTCGGAATTTGGAGAGCGCTGGAGAGGGGTATAGCGTTGGACATAGTCGAAACCCTAAAGCACTCCATCCTCCAGAGCTCTGTCCCATTTTAGAAATGATCAAAATGGGTTGTAGAAAAACACAGAACAATCATATATCATTCAACTCAATTTCAATGCTTACAAATATCCAGTAGCCTTCTCTTTGTATACAAGAAGTAGATAACTAACTCTAACTAACTAACCACCTAACAAACTATTAACAAACTATCTAACTAACTGAAAGCAGATATTCAACTATAGCTACAACATAGGATTGATACACTAAGACCTCAGCTAGCTCTTTGAACTCTGTGAGCTGTCTTGATGTCAAAGCTTTGAAGGTTCACCTGAACTTGAAACTGATCTATGGACTGATCTGTGAGCTGCAGAGTTAGTATTTTCAACATCCCCTTGCAAGTGAATGGGGGAAGAGGGACACAACATGAGCTTGGCCTTGAGATACAAAAAGCGAGAAACAGAGAGGGGCTTAGTGAATATGTCAGCCAGCTGATCAATGGTAGGAATGTACTAAAGAAGCAATTTCTTAGCCAGAACCTGATCACGCACGAAATGACAATCTACCTCAATGTGTTTAGAGCGTGAATGAAAAACAGGGTTGGAGGCTAAGGAAATTGCAGAAACATTATCACACCAAAGTGTAGGAAGCACAGGAGAGACAATCGATAACTCGTGAAGAAGCATGCCAATCCAAGCTAACTCAGCTGCAATATGAGCAAGAGATCGATATTCTGCCTCAATAGAAGATC